GATCGGAGGAGGCCGTTCAGATGGAGAGGTGGACATTTCATTAGCCTGTGTGGACAGCAGCCCGGCAGCAGTGATGACACGATGCACAAAATGTGTGTGTGCTGGGGCTCATGGGAAATTGTGTCAATGTGGATAGATGCTGCTGCAGGGGGCACTAATGGGGAACATGGCACTGACAAGACACAGGGCAGTTACAAAATCATGTTTGGACACAAAAATATAGATAAAAACTGCAAGACAAACACCACATGAAGCCCTATTTGATACCAAACATTAAAAGAAAAAGATTTAAACTGACCAGGTATGAGAATGCTCCAATTACACAGCTACAGTTTCACCAGAAGATCTTTGTTATTAAGAAATGCAGTAAATGTACATTTGGTACATTACCATGAATAAAATATTGTCCCCATTACCTGAATTAATCAATTTCAAAACACATTTTCACATTTCTGATCACCAAGCCCAAGATTTAGGGCTATACAAGAATACGTTTAATTGAAGTGAAGCAAAGTAAATACACTCCTGATCAGATTTGTAAGACCTTCAAAAACCAAAAACACTTTTCAATCTGCAAAATATTTTCTAAACTATGAGGTGAGATGAAAAATCTAAAATCTATGAAACCCTTCAACAATACAAAGTGAAACAGGCTCTTCTTCAGATGATAAAACCTTCAGAACAAAGTCCTTCCTTCATTGTGGTTCTGTGCAGCAGAGTGTGTGCCTGAGTGTGTGCCTGAGTGTGTGCACGAGGCGTGTGCACGAGGCGTGTGCACGAGGAGTGTGCACAGCAACACTGGAGGTGACTCAGAGATTTACACTAAGTTCAGGTCAGGTAAAAGAAAGATGTCGAGGTGACCTGACGTGCAGCAGAACAACGACAGACATCATACAGTACATTAAATCTTCTTAACATTAGATTCAGAAATGTATCGACCAACGATGAAGACCTGACAGATTAAGATCATGACTATAATGCAACTCATAATCAGTTTGAAAGATTTTCGATTGTCTGAGCTGCGCCTGTTCTTTCTCTGTGTGTAAAAACTGGAAAGTGAGGTGAGCCTCAGCTCGGCATGTGATGCAGCTCTTTAAGTGACATCAATTAGAGGATTTGTAGCCTGGTCGTACCACACCATAGTACAAATTACATTTCATACTAAGGTCTGGAGGTGCTTCATTGACTCCGTGAACAGGTGGGAGGGGTTAACTCCTTTTGCAGATTGAAACCATTGGATCTGAGTTTACTGTGAAGTATGTAATGCGCCCGAGTCTGTTGTTAGCATTTAGCATTTAGCCTAGCTTTAGCCATCTCCTTTGCCGCTAACGAAGCCCGTGGGGAGTAGTGCCAACATTTTTTTCCAGCGATTACATTTGCTAAACATTCCTCTTGCTCCGGCTTCAATTTCTTGATAGAACCAGACTGGATTACTTTACTATCGCATTTTTTCCATTACCAAACTACAACCTGCCTGTTCGAGGCAAACTCTCATCAATCAATCACAACTAACTACAACACCCGCCTCCCGCGCTCTCTGATTGGTCGGTCGAAATTCAACCGATTGTATTCGCTAACACAGGGACCAGACCCAGACGTTACATGCAGGACATGATGATTGAGTGCAGTGTAAGGATGGATAAGGAGGATTTTGACTATTGTACATGTTTTTGGGGGTTGAGGAAAGTAGTCCTAAAGGTTAGACCACAGTTTATCAACATACCCTTTATATCAACTGAACCCTTTAACCTCTTCAATGTATTGTATTGTTTTGTCTTAGAGACAGTTATAGCTGGCATTTGTCACTGATGCCTTCTACACAAAGCTTCCGTCAGCAGTTTTGCATGTGTTTGTGTGCCGTGTTTCGTTGCTGCCTCATTTTTCAGCCGCTGCCTCTTTCCTCCTGTATACATTACCTTTGTCATTTTGATTTATGACTTGACAATAGCAGCGTGTCTCCATGGCCTTTGTGCGTGGAATAGAAAGGTCCGATCTGTGCCGGCTTTTCACAGCAGATTAGCCTATCGTTGATTCTGTGCAATGTCGCTGGAAATGAGCCGCAAAATAGGAACAAGACAGGAGCAGCGTGAAGACCAGTGAAGACCAGTGAAGACCAGTGAAGACCTGTGAAGACCAGTGAAGACCAGTGAAGACCAGTGAAGACCAGTGAAGACCAGTGAAGACCAGTGAAGACCTGTGAAGACCAGTGAAGACCAGTGAAGACCAGTGAAAACCTGTGAAGACCAGTGAAGACCAGTGAAGACCAGTGAAGACCAGTGAAGACCTGTGAAGACCAGTGAAGACCTGTGAAGACCAGTGAAAACCTGTGAAGACCAGTGAAGACCAGTGAAGACCAGTGAAGACCAGTGAAGACCTGTGAAGACCAGTGAAGACCAGTGAAGACCTGTGAAGACCAGTGAAGACCTGTGAAGACCAGTGAAGACCAGTGAAGACCAGTGAAGACCTGTGAAGACCAGTGAAGACCTGTGAAGACCAGTGAAGACCAGTGAAGACCAGTGAAGACCAGTGAAGACCAGTGCGGTGAAGACCTGTGAAGACCAGTGAAGACCAGTGAAGACCAGTGAAGACCAGTGAAGACCAGTGAAGACCAGTGAAGACCTGTGAAGACCAGTGAAGACCAGTGAAGACCAGTGCGGTGAAGACCTGTGAAGACCAGTGAAGACCAGTGAAGACCAGTGAAGACCAGTGAAGACCAGTGAAGACCAGTGAAGACCTGTGGAGGAAGAAGAGGAGTAACAGGTGGAGGAAGAAGAGGAGTAAGAGGTGGAGGAAGAAGAGGAGGAAGAAGAGGAGAAAGAGGTGGAGGAAGAAGAGGAGGAAGAGGTGGAGGAAGAAGAGGAGTAAGAGGTGGAGGAAGAAGAGGAAGAAGAGGAGAAAGAGGTGGAGGAAGAAGAGGAGGAAGAGGTGGAGGAAGAAGAGGAGTAAGAGGTGGAGGAAGAAGAGGAGGAAGAAGAGGAGAAAGAGGTGGAGGAAGAGGTAGAGGAAGAAGAGGAGGAAGAGGTGGAGGAAGAAGAGGAGTAAGAGGTGGAGGAAGAAGAGGAGGAGGTGGAGGAAGAAGAGGAGGAAGAAGAGGAGAAAGAGGTGGAGAAGAGGTGGAGGAAGAAGAGGAGGAAGAGGTGGAGGAAGAAGAGGAGGAAGAAGAGGAGGAAGAAGAGGAGGAAGAGGTGGAGGAAGAAGAGGAGAAAGAGGTGGAGAAGAGGTGGAGGAAGAAGAGGAGGAAGAGGTGGAGGAAGAAGAGGAGGAAGAAGAGGAGGAAGAGGTGGAGGAAGAAGAGGAGGAAGAAGAGGAGGAAGAAGAGGAGGAAGAAGAGGAGGAAGAGGTGGAGGAAGAAGAGGAGGAAGAAGAGGAGGAAGAAGAGGAGGAAGAAGAGGAGGAAGAGGTGGAGGAAGAAGAGGAGGAAGAAGGAAGTCGTGGTTGAAGATGTTTCTGACATTAGAGCATTAGTGGATCATGTGATCAAACATGACCTCACACTGAAGGAGCAGAGAGTCCAGACAGAGCTCTATCAGCAGGACCTTCAGATGGAAACATGTACTACAGACTGTATCTACAGTATTTACAGTACTGCATCACATGTACTGTAACTCTGTACTGCAGACTGTATCTATAGTATTTACAGTACTGCATCACATGTACTGTAACTCTCTGTACTGCAGACTGTATCTACAGTATTTACAGTACTGCATCACATGTACTCTAACTCTGTACTGCAGACTGTATCTATAGTATTTACAGTACTGTATCACATGTACTGTAACTCTGTACTGCAGACTGTATCTACAGTATTTACAGTACTGCATCACATGTACTGTAACTCTGTACTGCAGACTGTATCTATAGTATTTACAGTACTGTATCACATGTACTGTAACTCTGTACTGCAGACTGTATCTACAGTATTTACAGTACTGCATCACATGTACTGTAACTCTGTACTGCAGACTGTATCTACAGTATTTACAGTACTGTATCACATGTACTGTAACTCTCTACTGCAGACTGTATCTATAGTATTTACAGTACTGTGCTGTATCACATGTACTGTAACTCTGTACTGCAGACTGTATCTACAGTATTTACAGTACTGTATCACATGTACTGTAACTCTCTACTGCAGACTGTATCTACAGTATTTACAGTACTGTATCACATGTACTGTAACTCTCTACTGCAGACTGTATCTACAGTATTTACAGTACTGTATCACATGTACTGTAACTCTCTACTGCAGACTGTATCTACAGTATTTACAGTACTGCATCACATGTACTGTAACTCTCTACTGCAGACTGTATCTATAGTATTTACAGTACTGCATCACATGTACTGTAACTCTGTACTGCAGACTGTATCTATAGTATTTACAGTACTGCATCACATGTACTGTAACTCTCTACTGCAGACTGTATCTATAGTATTTACAGTACTGCATCACATGTACTGTAACTCTGTACTGCAGACTGTATCTACAGTATTTACAGTACTGCATCACATGTACTGTAACTCTGTACTGCAGACTGTATCTACAGTATTTACAGTACTGTATCACATGTACTGTAACTCTGTACTGCAGACTGTATCTACAGTATTTACAGTACTGCATCACATGTACTGTAACTCTGTACTGCAGACTGTATCTACAGTATTTACAGTACTGTATCACATGTACTGTAACTCTGTACTGCAGACTGTATCTACAGTATTTACAGTACTGTATCACATGTACTGTAACTCTGTACTGCAGACTGTATCTACAGTATTTACAGTACTGTATCACATGTACTGTAACTCTGTACTGCAGACTGTATCTACAGTATTTACAGTACTGTATCACATGTACTGTAACTCTCTACTGCAGACTGTATCTACAGTATTTACAGTACTGTATCACATGTACTGTAACTCTCTACTGCAGACTGTATCTACAGTATTTACAGTACTGTATCACATGTACTGTAACTCTCTACTGCAGACTGTATCTACAGTATTTACAGTACTGTATCACATGTACTGTAACTCTCTACTGCAGACTGTATCTACAGTATTTACAGTACTGTATCACATGTACTGTAACTCTGTACTGCAGACTGTATCTACAGTATTTACAGTACTGTATCACATGTACTGTAACTCTGTACTGCAGACTGTATCTACAGTATTTACAGTACTGTATCACATGTACTGTAACTCTACTGCAGACTGTATCTACAGTATTTACAGTACTGTATCACATGTACTGTAACTCTCTACTGCAGACTGTATCTACAGTATTTACAGTACTGTATCACATGTACTGTAACTCTCTACTGCAGACTGTATCTACAGTATTTACAGTACTGTATCACATGTACTGTAACTCTCTACTGCAGACTGTATCTACAGTATTTACAGTACTGTATCACATGTACTGTAACTCTCTACTGCAGACTGTATCTACAGTATTCAGTACTGCAGTACTGTATTTACACATGTACTGTAACTCTGTACTGCAGACTGTATCTACAGTATTTACAGTACTGTATCACATGTACTGTAACTCTGTACTGCAGACTGTATCTACAGTATTTACAGTACTGTATCACATGTACTGTAACTCTCTACTGCAGACTGTATCTACAGTATTTACAGTACTGTATCACATGTACTGTAACTCTCTACTGCAGACTGTATCTACAGTATTTACAGTACTGTATCACATGTACTGTAACTCTCTACTGCAGACTGTATCTACAGTATTTACAGTACTGCATCACATGTACTGTAACTCTCTACTACAGACTGTATCTACAGTATTTACAGTACTGTATCACATGTACTGTAACTCTGTACTGCTGACTGTATCTACAGTATTTACAGTACTGTATCACATGTACTGTAACTCTACTGCAGACTGTATCTACAGTATTTACAGTACTGTATCACATGTACTGTAACTCTACTGCAGACTGTATCTACAGTATTTACAGTACTGTATCACATGTACTGTAACTCTCTACTGCAGACTGTATCTACAGTATTTACAGTACTGTATCACATGTACTGTAACTCTCTACTGCAGACTGTATCTACAGTATTTACAGTACTGTATCACATGTACTGTAACTCTGTACTGCAGACTGTATCTACAGTATTTACAGTACTGTATCACATGTACTGTAACTCTGTACTGCAGACTGTATCTACAGTATTTACAGTACTGTATCACATGTACTGTAACTCTGTACTGCAGACTGTATCTACAGTATTTACAGTACTGTATCACATGTACTGTAACTCTGTACTGCAGACTGTATCTACAGTATTTACAGTACTGTATCACATGTACTGTAACTCTGTACTGCAGACTGTATCTACAGTATTTACAGTACTGTATCACATGTACTGTAACTCTGTACTGCAGACTGTATCTACAGTATTTACAGTACTGTACTGTATCACATGTACTGTAACTCTCTACTGCAGACTGTATCTACAGTATTTACAGTACTGTATCACATGTACTGTAACTCTGTACTGCAGACTGTATCTACAGTATTTACAGTACTGTATCACATGTACTGTAACTCTGTACTGCAGACTGTATCTACAGTATTTACAGTACTGTATCACATGTACTGTAACTCTCTACTGCAGACTGTATCTACAGTATTTACAGTACTGTATCACATGTACTGTAACTCTACTGCAGACTGTATCTACAGTATTTACAGTACTGTATCACATGTACTGTATCTTACTGCAGACTGTATCTACAGTATTTACAGTACTGTATCACATGTACTGTAACTCTTACTGCAGACTGTATCTACAGTATTTACAGTACTGTATCACATGTACTGTAACTCTGTACTGCAGACTGTATCTACAGTATTTACAGTACTGTATCACATGTACTGTAACTCTGTACTGCAGACTGTATCTACAGTATTTACAGTACTGTATCACATGTACTGTAACTCTGTACTGCAGACTGTATTTACAGTATTTACAGTACTGTATCACATGTACTGTAACTCTGTACTGCAGAGACTGTATCTACAGTATTTACTGTACTGTAACTCTACTACTGTATCTACAGTATTTACAGTACTGTTACTGTAACAGTACTGTATCTACAGTATTTACAGTACTGTATCACATGTACTGTACAGACTGTATCTACAGTATTTACAGTACTGTATCACATGTACTGTAACTCTGTACTGCAGACTGTATCTACAGTATTTACAGTACTGTATCACATGTACTGTAACTCTGTACTGCAGACTGTATCTACAGTATTTACAGTACTGTATCACATGTACTGTAACTCTACTGCAGACTGTATCTACAGTATTTACAGTACTGTATCACATGTACTGTAACTCTCTACTGCAGACTGTATCTACAGTATTTACAGTACTGTATCACATGTACTGTAACTCTGTACTGCAGACTGTATCTACAGTATTTACAGTACTGTAACACATGTACTGTAAC